TTTTTTTCGGCGCCGGCGGTTCGAGAGTTAAATCAATTGATTCGAAAATATTATTAAAAAATGTATCGTTATTTCTAAAATTCATCAAAATTCCTGTTAAATTGTTTAACCGTTGTTTTGAGTAATTTGAGTAATTTGGCATTTATTATTTCGGGTTGATGGTTTCTTCGTTATTCATTCTATTGCGGTGCGTTTGAGGTTTGTTGATGCAGGATACAGTGTGCTACGTACCACGTAGTGAGTGATAGTGTTTTTTCGGGCATGTTATGTATTTATGTAAAATTTAAATAAATGGAATACATTTATCATTAAAAATTGAACAATACCTATCACTAATAAAAGAATAAAATAATTCATTGAACAAAAAAAAAATATCAAATTCAATAAAAACTAAAAAGAGAAATTCCGTAAGATTCCAGACGCTGAACTCTACGTAAAAGTAGCAACCTTATTTAGAAAGGATCATATCGCTTTTCCTGTAGAACAGCAAATAAGGAACTCTTCCCTGAGGTTTCAATACGTCTTCATTTTGCACGGTCTTGACCGAAGAATCGTCGTACCTAATCCAGCAATTATAGCCGACGTGGAAGGCATCGGTCACGTAGTATCCAATGTTATCATTTTTGCCTTCGTGGTAAACGACGGCGAATAGATAGGAGTTTCGTTTCTGATGTGGTGGTGGACGGACGTGCCGACAGCGACCGTCCACAAAGAAGGCACGCGGACGCCATTGTTGGGGACGAAATTCAGTTTGTGTTGTGAATGTCTGCCGTCATAGAACATGCCATCATTGAATTAAACGTTTTTTGTGAACAGTCTATGAGGGTTACAGAGAAACAGCACTCCCATTCACGCCGGTTGAAGGCCGGGGTGGACCGGATGTCTACGTGGAGACAGGATTTTACTAAATAAATGTGTTAATTATGTGTAAAAAGTCTTGNCTCTACGGTACATAGGGAGACGTGAAAGTTGCTATTGTGTTTTTATTCAACCCAGTCAACCAATTTCCAGGGCCGTAATTTTAAAGGGAATAATTCACACAATTATAATCGAATATTACCAAAAAATATCGAAATATAAAATTGAATTTGATTTCTCAATATGAAGTGGACTTCTACGATCCAAAAACTACAACAAAAAATACAGGACCGTATTTCCAAAAAATATCGAAATATAAAATTGAATTTGATTTCTCAATATGAAGTGAACGTCTACGATCCAAAAACTACAACAAAAAATACAGGACCGTATTTGAAAATTCAAATATGGGGGTGTCCCAAGTCAGAGGACACCCTGTATAAAAGATTCATGGATATATTCTGAGAGCCCACATCAAGTGCCAATAGCGAAATGTGAACAGATTTTCAATATGTTTGCGAATAAAGAAGATATAGTTGAAAAAATTATTTGGGATTTTTTGGTTTTTCCTGTATATCTCCAGAACCAAAATACGCAACTTTGCCATAATTTAACCGACACTCTAGCTCTTATCGTTTACGAGATCCCCATGTACGAATTTGAATAGCCCTGTGTATTCTAATCAAATGCAGTAGAAATTTCGCCGGAATTCGCATTATTCTCGCTACATCGAGATCGGTAGCGAAGTTCGTACATCCGCGCGCTCTTAGCTACGTCACGATTGGTTTATGGCTACCAGTGGCGGCCGGCGTTATTTTCTTCAGGGCATGATAAAAAAGGTCGATAAAAAACTGATTTTTTCCTCCACAAAAAATGATTTTCGTTGAATACTCTTAGTTTGTGATGAATCAAAAGATTAAGGGGTTCTTGTCAGAAAACTAATTTAGAGGTCAAAACTTACCTGTAATGATAATGTGCAGTTATTTCAGTGTTTATGGTTCTGACGATTTTTCCAAGAAATAAAAAGCATTACCTGAATTAGTATAGATGAAATACTTTGCTGTTTGGAAACTTGTTCATTTCTTTCAATTCTCCGAAAAGCAGCCACATGGGATTCTACTTTTTCATTTTTTTCCTGTACCAGTTCGTATATTTTTTTAAGTGCTTATATTGTTCTGCGGAGTTATTCCGCTCGAATACGAATACGAGTGGCTACAGCGTTGGTCGGCTATAATTTGGCAACCAGGGAACAAATCATATGATGTCATATCTTCAAATCTTATGTAGCCCAAAGAACATAAAGTAGACTAACCTGGGTGGATATGATTTGGATTGTCCATGAACTGCTTGTCTTCTACACCTCACGTTTGCATAAAACATGATGAAATAATTCAATATCCTTCTTGGTGAGTCAAAATGAATACGCAAGTTCATATCAATTATCTATTACAATTTTATCGATTCTTACATTTCTGAAACATTGCACTTAAGTAGAAAGGTAAAATGCACTACATATATTTCTAAAACCTACAGAATTATTGTAAGATTACCCTAAAGAAAATGATTCTTAACAAATTTTTTTGAAGAAATATAAAGTTTGCAAACATTCGTTTATAATTCCAATTTGTATGAAAAATAATGAAAAATATATCTACAAATGATTGTAATTTTTTGTTTTGGTACATTTCTGCACTACAGATTTTTTTCGAATTTCTCATGTTATATCGTTTCGTAACCCGAGAAATTAGGCTTATTCAGTAATTTCTTATAATATACTGATGTTTATTACAGATTCTCGATTGAGAAATTGATAGAAGGTGTTGAGTTTTCTAGCGATTCATTCTTCATTTTGATAAATAAATAACAGATTTACCTAGAGTATCGAAAACGATAATTCAATACAAGCACTATATACAATTCCATATGAGGCACTATTTTTCATTCAAAATAATTTATGATTATTTCAATATTTAGAGTTTAGGCCCTAATCAACTCTTCGTTCAGCAGTATGAAAAACATTCCTCTTAAAAACTATGACAACTGATAAAACCTTCTGTATAAAAAAAAACAACATGACACAAGAATTGACTAATGTGTTCATAACAATTAATCATCACACCATTAAAAATTATTAATAAATAATATATCTCTACAACACAGTAAATAAAGCAACTCAAGTTCAACCTCAGCATTTAGATAAATAACCACTGGAAAAAGGAAATATCAGTGTTGAATTTCAAATGATATCTTTAATTTTCTGGCAGTCTCCTGCCTGAAGATTCAAATTTTGAACTTAGAATTTAAACAGGATCACAATCAGGAAAATATTGGAGTTTTGAAGTATATCTATTTCACTTTCCTAATCATCAGTTATCTCGTCTTCGTGGGCAAATTTCAGAAAAACTTGCTCCAACGTAGTTTGACTAAAGCAGTATTCTTCTATATCTAATTCGAGCTTGGCTGGAACAAACAATGTATGTTAGCAGAATCACAATCATCTTCAGAAATAATTCAATTTTTCAATCCTGGATTACAAGCTTGAATTCAATATATGGTAAAACCGGGATAGATGCCCCAGCGGGATAGATGCCTTATATCCTAAAAAGCTAACTTCCCGAACTCGCGTCTAAGAATTAATTCTATTAGTAGGAGCAGCAGTCACCCTGTACCTGTACCTCAATACCAAAGACAGTTGTGTGATGTAGAAGCTTTTGGCTCGTACGTGTATTTATCTCCGCGACGGCATTCAGACTAAACTACAGTTTAGTCTTCCTCTTGAAGATAATCACTTGGTGATCGAAACACGTGTCGAGGTGTTTACAATAATGATTTGGTGTTGGTATAAAACTCCAGTAATATTACTACACCAAAGGTTCCAAACAGTGTATTACAAGTAACTAATTGCCGTCTCAGTACATCCCTTAACGTAATCATTTTTTTAGGAAAACATCCTATTTTTGGATTTTGACAACGAGAAAAGGCTAGTAAAGCACATTCTGAAGCCTGGTGTTGCAGGATTTCCCCAAATAGACAAGTCATACGCATGTTAGCTTATCAATTTCTTGAAAAGCTGGAGCTAAAACACAATTTCAGCCACCAAAACGAAATGGCTGGAGGTGCATGGTTCAGAAGGTTTATTGAACAAAATCCGAAGCTGTCTATCAGACAAGCTGGAGGTTTATCCGTGGCTAGAGCTAAAGGTCTTAGTACAGAAGAAGTCAATAACTTCTATGATCTTTTGATCAAAGTTCTGACCCAAAATGCAAATGGATAAAATAATGAAGATATCTTTATTGTGTTATTTCAATATAAAAAAGAATGACTGTGTGATGTACATGTTGAAACTCAATGTGAATGTTCCATAACAACAATGAAGAATTTTTATTTTTGTTGAATAAAAGCTTGTTAAATTTAATTTGAGAAAATATGATTATCTCTGCATGTTGAAACATAAGAATTTATATTTCAATTGAACAAACGCTTCAAAAATTTGATTATGATCATTAATGTAATATTAAAATTATTTTCCAATGATATCAATTAAAAGATTTGAAAAAATACAAAATATTTTTCATAATTATGACTCATGTTTTGTGGGGGTTTTTGTTTACCTACACGGCATCTATCCTGCACTGCAGGTATCTATCCTTCTCACTATTTTCGTGGTGGGGCAACTATCCATACAGGTAGGCATCTATCCTCAAAAAGAATGTTCCACGAAAAGCTAATTTTCGCAAAATCTGTATTTGATAGGTCAAAAAATAATAGTAATAATTCAACATGAAGGATTGAGCTAGCTACATTATTGAAATTGTTCGTATAAAATTAATATTTTTCAAATTAGGTGGTTATTTCAGAAAGTGGGGAATCTATCCCGGTTTTACTCTAATAAATATCCAATAATTTTAGATTTTGACGGATATTTCGCAAAAAACAATTAGGTATTGAAGGAAACCCATACTTTCAATATTAATTTTACATTGACTCCCATTGATCAGTAGAGTTAAAATTATACAACATGTGCGAAGATTATTATTTCATATAATTGAGTCCGACTTCTGTGCTGAAAATAACCGGACAAAAACATTCGGGTACTTCAGTTGAAACAGAAATAAAAAACTAATTGATACAGTTTATTATATGATTTTCACTTTGAAGGGTTTCACAGAGTTTACGCTATTGTATAGCGAAACACGTGTCGCGGTATTTGTAAAACTCTAAGTGAAAATCATACAATAAACTGTATTAATTGGTTTTAATATGGATTTTCATCAAGTATCGGCCAGTTCTATTCAATTTGAACAGAAATATCAAAACTGAGATCGAATTGAAGAAACAGGACAGAATATAACAAACTGTGAGAAGGATACTCTGTGGAGAACACAACTTGTTACAACTAGAAATCAAAATGTATTAATAAATAATTTCAAAAACGGAAGTTTGAAGGAGGTATTCGATACCTCTCAAAAATATAAGATTTTTGCAGTCCTATAGTAAGAAGTTAGTCGTCATGTCGTAAGCTGTGGGTGGTGCACGTGAAAATCCTGGAAATGTAACAGATTCTCCTGCAAAACTTCATTACTTTCTGCATCCATGTAAATATTAGGTATCATAATAGGTAGTGAATTTCACTAGTTCGGACTTCCATTGTCTACTATATAAAATGATTTGAAATCCCTGAAACAAGTAAAAAAGAATAATTAAAAAAGGATAGTTGAAAATAACAATTACATTAAGCAACAATAAACCAAATATAATTGTTATTTTCAACTATCGTTTTTTAATTATTGTTTTTTACTTGTTTCGGGGATTTCAAATCATTTTATATAGTAGACAATGGAAGTCCGAACTAGTGAAATTCATCACGAAACATTGTCAATCACCTTCAAACAAACATAATAGGTAGTAATTATTGTCAGGAGCAATATCGAAACAAAACAATGGATACATAATTTGATTCCAAAATTCTCATTATATAAGGTGATGGTAAGTCAAGGTGTATATGAAAACACTGACAGGCGGAATTTTTCTCTGGTGTGGGAAATATATTTCAGTAGGTTTATTTCACGCCGGAGGTTTTAATTCTAGCTATCAAATAATCATATCACCTTTTTCTAACTGCATGAAACAATTGGCCAAAGATGGTACACTTTGTTGAGGTACGCTGAATACCAGTCTATCGGCAAAACTTTCCTGCAAAGTAGCCTCAGGAAACAACGATGCCACAAACTCCCTCAATTCATGATGACGATCACCGGAATCTGAGGTTGGTGTTGAATCTCCTCCTCCTAATTTCATTTCTAAGGTGTAACCAGCACCATAGAGATTTTTGAGATGTTGAGTTGAACCAAGACACCTTGAATTGATAAAAGAAATTATTCAACAATCATTATATTCAGTATTTTTAGAAAGTCGATATTAATTCAATATTCATATCATCAAAATATTTACAAAAAAATGAAAACGGTCTTAAAATCTACGAATCGAGAAAATAAGCATAAGAACTTCAAAATAGGCAAAATAGGTACAAGTCTAGTTTTTTAGGTCTTTTAGTTGTCTATTCTCCTCAAACCATATAGTCTACATGTTTCAGATCAGGAGATCATGGGGGGCTTTTCTTTCTTTTTTCTCAATTTCATTCACAAGGTTCAACTAGCACCATAGATATTTCAAAAATGTTGAATAGTCCCAAGACATCTAAAACTGACGGAAAATTCAGTCTACATCCAACAAGTATTCTTTTCAGTATTAACTCCTTTGTTTGTCAAAGAAATGAACTGTTTCATCAAGTGTCCTTGAGATTTATCCTTCATCTAAGTTCATGATTGAAGTATTTCAAAAATCATTAATACAGTTTACTGTGTTTCAAATTATGAAAGATTCACAAAACCGCAAAAGGTTTAGTTCCAAACATTTCTTCCGGAAACTAAAAGTTTTGATTCTAGATTGAATTCAGTTTGCTATGTAAGGAATTCTTTCTATGCTTTTTTAAGTGTACATAAAATTTGATAGTGATTCATTAGTCTTGCTTCAAGAATCTATTTCATAGCAAAACACGTGTTCCAGTTTTGTGAACCTTTCATAATGAATCTCAGTAAATTGGATTGGTAAGTAATGTTATGAACACTGTCCAGTTCTAATCAATTTTTGAAATATTCCAAACCGTTTCCCATAATGAATAAGGATATTTCTTGTATTGAAGGTTGAAGAGTTAAAGGAGATCATGGGAAAAATGTCACTTGATATGTGTTTTTAAGTGGGTTTTCGCAATTTGACTGGAGTATATTCAGCAGTAGTGATCTTATGAAAATGCAACCTGATGAAGTGGAACATCATATTTGGAACTGAATTGACTAATCAATACAATAAACAATAAAGACCGTCATATCTACAGCTACTGTTCCGTAAAGACCCATCAATTCTATATTTGCAATATTATAACCTGCTAGAGGGTATGTGTCGCTACCAAATATTCAAAATTCCATATATAAATGGCAGTTTACAGATTTGTCCTCAGCACTGAAAATGTCTTTCTTCAATTCTGATATATACGTTTGGAAAAAATAAATTCAATGAACTGACATTAACATACCTCAATTCGCCTCTAACCATAATACCAACTCTCGAACAAAGTGCATCTGCTTCTTCCATGGAGTGGGTGGTTAGAATAGCTCCTCTGGAACCCTTCGAATACAATATCGATTCAATGTTATTCGGATTCCAAAAAACAATTTCGTGTGAATACTTACCTGAAAACTTGCTAAAATTGTGTCCCATAGGAACCTCTTACTCCGCGGATCCATACCAGTACTTGGTTCATCCAACAAAACCACTTTAGGGTTCCCTACCATTGCCATAGCAAAGCTCAGCTTCCTTCTTGTACCCCCAGAACATTGCTGGGTCTGTTTGTCAGCATGTTCGTGAATCTGTAGTCCACTCAAATACAAACTGACTATCCTCGGGATATCTTGGTAAGAGACTCCTCTGATGGCAGCGTAGCATTCTAAATGCTCCCTAACTGTGATATTTTTCCATAAGGCATCGTGTTGGGGGCAGTAGCCTAGCAGCTGAAAGGCTGAGTTCATATTGGAGTTGATGCTCTCGCCTCCAATTTGGACCTGAAATATAAAATAATAGTAGTCGCGACAATTACAATTGGATTTTAAATGAGTGTGTCTCTGGACCAGTTATCGCCCTCACACCAAAAGTAATTAATAAGACCGTAGCAAAACCTATCTGCATCTTTGGTGAGTTTGAAAAATCTAAACTGCTTCTAATTAATAGACTCGAAAGCATCGACAGTTTACGTGCAGTCATTTTTGATAACCTGAAATATTTCTTTCGTGAAATCGATAATGCTCATTCATAAATTTGAACAGTCTGAAAAGGGGAAGTTTCCATGGTTAATTTTGCGCCTTCTTTGTACCTGTTCCTTTGGCGAGGACACATCTCTTCACCATCTAGCGACGAACCTGGTAATTCAATACTGATAAATCGATAATTGAACAAGAACGTTTCATCATTGAACTGGTGATTTCCAGCACAGCTAAGGAAATTGCGTCTACAGTTTAGTCAACCGACCATATGATAGCTTTTTTCGACGTTCCTTCAACCATATAACGATCAAGTTTGTGCTAAAATCATTGCTGTTTCCTTGAGTTCTACCTTCAACTATTGTTGTGGAAGGCATACATTTTGACTACTGTGTATAGAGTTGAAGATTTTGATAGGCCAGAGTGTTTATCGCCCTTCCTCCTTTGGTACAATTTTTTGAAATTATTGATTCCAGCTTCAACAAATATATTTTTTACATAACTCTAGAACGCAATTGAAAAGCAAATATTAAAATATCACAAATTATATGTTTTTCCACTTACGATACCACTTATCGTCTAAATTATCGTTAAAAAATGTTCCAAAGTCACAATTTCTTGAACTATTAGTGAATCAGGAAAAAATCCAGGTGATAATTGAAACACCACAGGAGAATATTCAGTGAAAAAATTACGAACTTTGATAAGTTGATTTAGTTCGCTGATTTATAAAATTCACCAATGTTTTTTCAAGAATATTCATATCTTCGTTCAAAATATAAGTTTATTCATGTTTTTGCAGACAATGCGAAATTGTTTTTTTATAAATCACCTAATTTTAATTGTTATCTAAGAAATTTTTTGTGGTATAATCGACAAATATGTAACAGTTCTCCTCCGAATTTATATTTGTCAATGAGTTAATGTTAAATAAAAATAAGATAGCCAAAAATAGATTCTTCTGATACCCCAAAATTCAAACATCGCTCGAAGTTATTATATATTCGACCAAACATGGCATTCATACATTGGCAATGTGAGAAGTAATTCGCATACATAAATGAAAATCACCTTTCGAAAAGCATATGAAAAACGTTTCCGGGAGGACAATTTAACTTAAACTATATCTTGATTCATTCCAAAACTGTTTACGAAGTTTCACCAACTCAGGAAAATGTAGATATTTGTTCTTAAGTGAGAAAACAATAAATAATGTGTTTTCATGCTTTTTGCAGAAAAATATGGGTCATATGGGTGGAGTTGATCAACTCTGTAGCAATATTGAACGTTATTAGGTCAAGATAAGAAGTCACAAATGGTATATGTTTATTTTTTATCACCATTTGTATCTCTAAATCGTCAGTACATGACATCTACTTAAAAAAAACTATTAGAGAAAGGAAGAGATGTATCAAATTGATACAAATTCCGCGCGAAAATTGCATATTTCTTGTGTTGTATTTGACAAAAAGAACTAGCATCGACTTGTATCTGTATCTTTGTATCTGTAGCACTTGAGGTCCTACTCGGACTTCCATCACTGCACACTGAACAGAGTTCTACAGTACAACTTTCACAAAATTTCAAAATCATCATACCAAGTAGAAAGAACTGGCAAAATGGCCCACCGGTAAAAGCGGAAGAAACTTGGTAGACAGATGGCTCAAAGACCCAAGAAGGAGTGTGAGCCGGTATATACGGAGAAAGAGCAAAGACGAGAGTCGCACTCAACCTCGGACAGGCAGAAGTAGCGGACCATAAGGGGTAATAAACAGGCAGAAGGTCACAAATAAAATATTTGCCATTTTCTCCGAAAGTCAGGCGGCAATTAAGGCGCTTCTCAAGACTGGTGGGTACCCAAAATAAGGTCACTCTAGCTTTGGTACCCGGACATGAGGATCACAAGGGCAATGAGAAGGCCGATGTTCTAGCCCGTGAAGGCGCATCCAAGGCTATAATCGGCCCAGAACCCTTCTGCGGGTTAGCGAAAGCATGTATAAAGACATCCAAAAATTCATGGATGCGAGCCGAATCGCCTCATTTCTGGAATAAGCTTCGATCGCCCAGTTTCACGAAAGACCTGCTAAACCACAACCGTAAGGTTGTAAGGGTAGTTGTGGGTCTACTAACGGGGCATAGCCGACTCAGAAAACATATAAGCAAAATGGGTCTGACAAAAGAAAAACAATGCAGGTTCTGTCAAGAAGAGGAAGAAACCCCACTGCATGTGTTCTGTGAATGCGAAGCGATAGCAAGATGCGGGGAAGAGAAACCAGAGGCTGCCAACTTTATGAAGAGGACAATATCAAGGCTATGGATTCTCATCAAAGAGATCAAGCTAGACAATGAGCTCTGACAACAAAGGAGCATCACAATAGATCTGAAAAGGTCGCAGTGAATCACGCCATGGGTTAACTCTCCGACAATCTAATCTACGGTATGGAGGGTGCTCATTAGCCAATGTTTGAATCAGAGTTTTGGGTGAAAATGAAAATAATGATAATTCTGTAATTTATAATGGAATGCAATAGTTTTGCGAATAGCGAATTCAAACCAGAAGTACTCTGATGCGTATATATTTTTAAAAAAATTACTCACTCGACCCCTGGTAGGAGCTTCTTCTGCGGTAATAATTTTCATCGTTGTAGTTTTTCCTGCTCCATTATGCCCCAAAAGTCCAAATACTTCCCCAGCGTCGACTGCTAGAGACAATGATTTTACTGCAACTTTTGTTGTTTCAGTATCTTCTTCAGATTTACAGCAACATTCACATAGCTTCAACTCGCTACTCGTATATTCTTTATGTAAATTCTGAAAAAGTGAACGGTTTATTCCAATGTAATAACTAGCTAGTCGACAATCGTACTTCAACCATCACTACTGGAGGGTTAGCTATATGGCAGTGCATTAGATTTTTGACTTTCTGTCTTTCAGCCTTCACGTCCTCATCTTCATTCTCTCCTATGTCGCTCAATTCATTTGCATCTTCCACAGGTTCTTCTTTTTTATTCTACAAATATACAATTAAAATATTCCATTTCGTCACAATTACTTAAAAATCAAATATTACCTTGGTTGCTTTGAAAATATCTCTCAGTTTGCCACCACTTTTCTTGATATCGATAACGAGAAGAAAGAAGAACCAAAATGGAATATGAATTAGCACGCCAACAAGCATGACGATGATTTCGCTGGTGAAATAACTTGAAAGTGTTATTTCCGTACATCCCAAATATTGTTGACACATAACATCAACCCTCTGTACATAATAGATCATAGCATAAGGCAAATACATTGTGTTTAGAAAGGAGAATACTACATGTTTTCCTTTATTGACGTGTTTTATGAGTTTGATGTTTTCTGGTGGGAGAAAGTTTATTTTGTATGGCGTGTGTTGCCAGGTTTGATTTATATGTTATTGAGTTAATGTATGCTTTTTTGTACTCGTCGTAACTCTGGATCAGTTTTTTCTTGGTTTGGCCGATATAGAGTTTGTTGCAGTCCGAGCATTGTATGCTGTACACTCCGTTTCGGTTTTTGTCTTCTTATTCATAGCTGTTTATTTTTTGTTTTTTTTCGTGTTCGGCTTGTAAGTGATGTTGATGTTCAAGGGTTTGAAGATGTTTTCTGATTTTTTGGTTTGGTGACCTATGTATGTGAATGCAGTCCATCGTTGTGTTGTTTTATCTGATGGAGTAGTTTGATTCTTGCTCTGTACTTTTTGTTTGATTCTATTTTCTAATGTATCTATTGTCTTTTGGGTATATCCCTTCTCGTTTGCTATTGGGTATATAATTCTCCTTTTTTGTTCCAGGCTTCATTGCTAAGTGGTTTCCTTAGCATTCTGTATATAAATTCGTTATAGTCAGCTATTTTGTGTGATGGTGGGTGGTATGATGGTGCTTGTTTATGTAGGTTTCCTGTATATTGCCATTCAAAATTTTGTTTTATTGTGGTTATATCCGATAGTTATGTCTAGGTAGTTGAGTTCTGATTCGTTTTCATCCTGTATGCTGAAAATTAGTTTATGATTTATGTTGTTGTTTGTTTTATTCCTATTCCTTTGTTTTATGATATGTACAGGCCATTGTCAACATATCTGAACCATTCTCTTTCTTCATCGTGTATTTTTATTATTGTTAAAATTTTCTCATTTGTGGTTTGCAGGTATATTTCGGATATAATGCTAGATAGTGGGGATCCCATCGCCAGTCCATCTGTTAGTTTATAAATTTTTCCTTCGGATTCGAAATAGTTTTGGTTGAATATTGTATTTAGGGTGGATTCCATTTGGTTAATGTAGGTCCTGTTTATGTTTTGGTGTTTTAGTTTATCTGATATGATTTTTATACTTTCGTTAATCGATATGTTGGAGTACGTTTCTTATGTCGAATGAGAATAGTTTAGTGTTCCCGCTGACGTTTGTTATTGAAATTCTATCTGTGAGTTCCATTGAATTCTTGATGCTGTGGTTGTTGTTCCTGTTGATTTTATTTTTCAGTTCATCGGCTATGATTTTTGAAATTTTGTATGAAGGTGCTTTTCCTTTTGTAACTTTATCTGTGCGTTGAGTTTTGGTACTCAAACGAAATGAACTAGATTCAACGAACTGATTATTTCATGTTCCTGAATTGTTTTTAAAAATACCTTCTCAAAAATGAATATGTTATGGTGTCACCTTATACAAGGTCGAAAATAAATGAACTGATGAATCTGATTGAATTTTATCAACCCCTTTTAAATTATGAAGAAACGCACATTTGATATATGTCTGAAATAAAAGTATTGTCAAAACCGTTAGCAGAATCAATCCATCTTTAACTAGATAAATTATTGAGGAGAGTGTCTGGTTGAAGAAGATTGTTATTAATCGCTTGTCGGGTATGGTATCACTTAGCCAACTCACCTCTATCATTGTTTTGCTCAAACAAAAAAATTATTGTAATGTTTGTTTTTAACTTACTGAGGAACATAACCAGAAGAAATGGTATACATCCAACAAAGGTGGCGATATTCGGTAATATTGATTGGGCCGAATCCGTTTTGTCGAAAATATAGCTTACACAGGTACTGAACATTATCGATGAGGGGCAGTATAAAAAGATTAAAATTCCCAAGGTGGTGAGTGCCGGCCACGAGTTGAGAGATCGAGTATTGAAAAGTAATATTATCACCAGAAGTACGGCACATATGAACACCATAATTGCGGCCAATACCAGAAAGTACGTCACGAAGTACATAGTGAAGGATAAACCATTGACTCTCAGTTGATTTTTCGCCTTTATCTGCAAAAGAAAAACATTTTGATAAAACAAGTTTCGCAATTTTTCATGGATGAACTTCGAATGATAACAGTTTTCACTATCATTGATGAAACTCACAACGGAAAAAATGACAAACATTGAAATTAATTCGGTTGTGGAAGAAAATATAGGTCATCCATATTTGAGTTAATTTCACAAGCTTTTTCGAATAATTTGTTCTTTTCACTACCATTTCATTGAAATTCGTTCATTACACTTTTCTGGAACTAGAGTCTGAAAGCACCATTTTTTACGTTTACATCCTTTAATAACTTTTGATTTAGATAGTCTTCATTTATGATGAATTCTCCTTCTGAAGAATAAACTATCAGAAACAATAACCAGCAAGATTGAGTTAGAAACAATAACCACCGATCGGAAAACTTATACAAAAAAGCAACATATCTTTTTTGTAGAAGTTCACCAATCGGTTATACAGCAACTATCAGTTTTTGACAAAGTTTCTGAATTCATCATTTCTTGAAAGGTATTCAATGGACGCTGGTAGCCTGTATGCTGATACCAGCACACCGTAGAACCTATCAGATTATCTAGGGAACCCGAAGAAGAGCCAAAAAATTGAGATTATTCAATTATCTCTAAGCCAGGTTGAATATCTAGTGCATGAGCAGCTTGTATCTCCTACTACCGATTCTTCAAATCCCCTACTATTATTGACAATGAAACTTCTTAGCTTGAAGCGCCAACATATGTCCCTATTTTGGCCGAGAAGTAAACTAGAATGCGAATATTTGAGCTTCTATGATGCTAGCGCGGGATCTACTCTTTTCAAATTTGCTTAGTCTTCTAACACTGGAATATCTGAAGCACATCTTCGATTTGAACAACAAAGTTAGATGATACCTTCTCAATGGAAATTTTAACACTGTTAATCGTCAGCAGTATACTCGTGAATTTTACCAAATAGATTATACCTGCGTCAAATGGTAAATCATCAAAGGTACTATCATGCTCTAGTTTCGTCTTATATAACATTGGTGTTTAGACTTTCTAAGTTGATTCTAATCATGATTTAGATAATTTTTCCGGAATGTCAGCGCAGGACAACTTTTTCATTCTCAGGAATGATGCAATCGATCAAATTTAGAGATTCATGACATCTGAAGATTATTGATAGAGTTGGAAACTTTTATCGAGATCACAAGAACTGCGGGAAAATCTTCAAAGCACTCTGGGAGCGGTGTTTGGGAGTATTTTTTTTCTCATTTGGAAAAAGCGACTCAGGAAGTTTGTTCCGCAAAGACACCGGACTACAAATGAAAGATTTGTTGGAAAGTGAAGTCTGAGGTGAATTAAATCGAACTTCGATGCGATGAGCAATATATTTTGCCGCGTACTTCTGTGTGGAATCAAGCGAGTTAAATCAGTTGTATCAGTTGTACACTTCCCGAGAAATTCCTATAGAAACGAAACAAGTCTCCAAACTACCTAACATATTTCAGGCTATCAGATTTCCTGTATTACTGGGTCTCCAACCAGGTAAATGTCATTTTTTTAGGTAGAATTTCGGTGCAGTCTCAAGAATATACTCAGGGCAAAGTTCGATATATGCAAGCAATATTCCGAGGCACATCAAATTTGAGATTTACACTTCATTAAAAGTTGCTGAGATGTGCATAAATTTCTGGATCGAAATATTGTTTCTGCTTCACTACCATGAAACCACGCCCGGAGTAGTTTTAGTGTTTGCAGAAAATACTGAAAAGATTTAAGAAGTGTTTTTCTATTTGACGGTCGATGTCGGAGATGGGCTCTACAATAGAAGGCCGAACATTCTAAGAATTTCGAATTTTTTTATAAGAGTTTCGACATTTAATTCACGTCAATCTTCCATTATTTCTGGGATAAATTCTTGTCTACGACTTTCTCAACGTTCATACATTTTATATCATGAATTGATTCTTGATAATTTTAAATTTATGATGAGGTTCACTTACTTCTCTGTCATAAACCATGTCAACTGCTAAACTAACCGGTACAAGTGCAAATATCATTCCCATTGTGAATGTTGCAGTATAGGCTCCAAGATTGAATTCTGGTTGAGAGGTTTGTTGAAATGGTTGGGATTTCACTTCAATTGGCATCCACTCACCTTTCTTGACTTGATCAGGGCTCAAAATTCTGGAAATTAAGGTGATCTGTGTTGAAAATAATCATAGCCAAGTAAATGAATATATTCGTACTGATTGATAGTATTTACTGTAAGATTTTCACGATTTTTTTCAAGGACAAAACACACTATAGAAAAATCCTTGAGGCGCTCTTAGAGCGGTGCCTGTGCGAAAGTAGTGATTCACACTGGATTTGAATCGCTGAAGATTAAATCCATTTGAAAAAAAGTTCTCAGTAAGTTTATTCCACATAAACGCCGTTCTCCAAATGAAAGACTTCTTAAACAGTGAAGTTCGATATGTACTGAATTGAACCTCAGAAAGATGAGCAGCCACAGCCCGTCGCGTATTTCTGATATGTACCGATCTTGATGCCAAGTCACTTGAACACCTCCCGTGAAAGTATCTATAGAAGAGAGACAAATCTCCAACTTTTTTTTCGATGTTAACAATCAAGGTTACAAGTGATGTTTGCAACTCCAATTAGGGGAATAGCTCTTTTCTGAGTGGAATCCAAAAAAGGTCTGATCTGAGCTTTATATAGCATCAAAAGTTGCTGAGGTATGTATACTTTTCTGGTTCGAAACAGTGACCAAACTTTTGAGAAGCAGCTTTTGCAATTCCAGCGACATGATTGTGCCAAGATATATCGGTGTCCATTTTAACCCCCAAGGAACTTATCGAAGCAGAAAGCGAAATTGTCTGACCTGGCATTATCATATCCTGTTCGGAGACATTTATCTTCTTGGAGAAAACCGATGCCTGGGTTTTTGAGGCATTGAATTGAACTTAGTTAATTTCACCACAATTCGAAATGACTTCTAGAGCCTCAGGATATTCAACCTCCTGCTGCCGATGGAGATGTGCATCCGCCGCCGATGTCCTGGAATACAAATGTAATGACGAGACAAGTGAGCTGTCGTCAGCAAAGCAATATATTGGATTCTTGATTTTTTCCAATAATTCGTTGATTGGAGACAATATGGATCCCTGTGAAACACCAGCGTTGATGGTGAAAGTTTTAAAGAAATATCCACCAATGGCTACTTGCAGGTAACGTTCTTTCAGGCCATAGCATCGAAGTTTGGCCAGCAAACCCTCATGCCACACACGGTCAAAGGCCTTAGAAATATCAAGCGCAACAACTCTTGACTCTCCATGTTTCTCGATTGCGTTATTCCAAATATGGGTGACATATGATAGAAGGTCACCTGTTGATCTTTGTTTCTGAAAACCATATTGATGATCGCTCAAGATATTGAAGCCTTCCAAATATTTGAGGATAGGTGGTTTACTGCTTTCTCCATGTTTTTTGATATCAGTGATAGCAAAGCAACGGTATATAGCTATTTGGAAGAGTTTTCTTGTCCTTTTTGGTAACGCGGAACGCGAGCAATCTTCCAACATGAAGGAAAAACTCCTTTCTTATAAGGCGATAAAGGGTTTTACAAAAACAGCAACTCATGTTTCACTTCATATCTTCCAATAGCGAGAATGGAAAATCACCATCGGTCGGTCGGTAGCCAAGCGGTTCGGCGTGGGTGCTTTGTTCACTCACTCGAATTGACTGCCGTGTTGGTCGGTGGTTCAAGCCCTAGTCTGAACGATCGATCTTCGCTTGCTATCGTCCAACCCGTGTTAGGAATCACACGTTAAAAGGTAAGACCCCGTTAGTCCTTAGCTCGCACAAGTTTCGACTTCTGAGGGTTGTCGTTCATAGGGGTGCGACAGCTGGTTAACGGAAAGAACAGATTTTTTTTAAATCAATGACTTACAACTTTTTTATATCTTACAATATTAGTTACTACCAAGGGTTCAATCTGATGATCAATTCAACTACTTGAAAGACCGGATAATCGTTATCTTCTGATTTCAGTGGAACCAGGTAAATGAAATTAATTACTTCTGATTCAAAATCACCAAAATTTTGAAAATATTTCTTGGAATCGATATAATATTCTCATTCAGTGTTATTCCAGAAGATATTATTAAATCAAATAAATAACTTTCGGCTCACCTGTAGATTGCGTTACTTATGAGATTCAAGGCAATTGGTAAACTATGATGCTCTGTATCGTTATAGAGGACAGTTACGCTGTAGTCCAAATTTTCAAAATAATTTACATTAAACGCCGCCATATGTGGTTCCGTATAAAGAAGCGAAGAAAAATTTCCATCGTAATCATCCAAGGATGACACGCCTAGATCGACCATCTGCTGCAGAAAGTTATCTAAGTTTGATTCCGATGCATTGTGAACCGCAATGGGTGTTCTACTGTAAGTGCTCATGTTTAGAGCCAAAGAGTGCATCTTCAAAGGGCCACTCTGTATGCTGTTGAAATAGAGACCTAGTGTAGCTATTCCCAATGGCAGTAATATCATGAAATATAGCTTTTGTATGTCACGCATCAAGCGTAAAGCTCGCAATCTCAATAAAGCTACCATGGTCTGAAAGCAATTTGGATGGCATTCAATTTTCTCAAGACCAATACCGGTGATTGGAGACTTTGTTTCACTTATTATTTCCAATCCGCCTATTTGAGTTGTATCTCCTCCACCTGTATTACAACCACAAAATAAATATATGAAAATGAATATTTTCGATGATGATACCTTTACTATCAGGATTGAGCATGTTATTGGTTTCATTCTGCAGAGATTGGTAACTGGTACTCTTACTCTGCAAACTCAAACTTCTACTGAGAGCTCTGTTCCTCACGATTTTTTTCGACAAATTGTCAACGGTACATTCAGTTTCCTCATCCCTTTCTAAGTGGAGGAACACTTCTTCAAGTGTTGTCATTGACACTCCGTAACTAGATATACCTAGAAAAAAATACTCCATAAGAAATATAAAATAAATTATTTGTATGTATATTTGTGTAAATGTATATACTTATATGTGTATGAATGTATATATGTGTGTATATATATGTGCGGGTATGCATGTTCGCATGCGTACTTGCGTGTGTATGTGTAATATTTAGGTTTTAAATGAGTGGTACATTATGGAATCATGTTATTGAAATAACACATGTACGTTCTTTACGAAGTCAATCCGGACAGCTAATCCGACTAATGTACTAATGTATTCATTACTACTAATAAAAAAAATCAAAATAATTTTGAAAAAAAATGCCGCTTGTGCCATACAAAGAAACTGCCGACGTTCGGTAATTATTTAGTTTTTATGCCATTCGAATTTACTTAGTATATACTATACCTACTATGTACCACTGTTTACGTTACATTATTTTTCAAGTCTATTTGGTCATTAAGAAAATAATCCGAATTTTTGACGGCAGTGATTTCTCAGCATTTCGATGTATTGAGTTTCAAACTGTTCAAATGTAAAGTTGAGATGAATTTCATAACCGGGTACTCAAAGATGGTTTGACGTTAGGTTTATCGTAACTGTATTGAAATTGATATTGAACTGATTATTATGGATATTATTCTCTGGATGATTGAAGTCTTTCGCTGCAAGAAAAAATTTGTCATCTAACGAAAATAATTTTGATTGGTGACGTAGAAAAAAAATCGTGAGAGAAAAATCGTAAAATGAAACAACTACGAGTACTATATGTTTGAATTCTGTGATCTGTCAAATGGTAAATTAAGATAACTGAAGGGTTCCATCGTACAAGTTTGTTTTGGCAAAAGTCCTGGTTTTGTGAATGTTTCATGTTATATTAAATATATTATTTTACTCGCAGAAAAGTGTTGATCGTAATTGTTATTCGTGAAATGCCGACTCCATTTTCCTCATCTATGAATCGTAGGTAATCGCCTATTTTGAAATATTCAAGCATATGACTATCACAAAATGAATAAATGGAAATGACTGTTTTATGTCGACGTCTTTGGAGTAGGCTAAATATATTCTCCAGATAACTCTCACTCAGATGTGAGGTTTCGTCTGATCTAATCGAGTCATTTTCAAAATTTTTGAATCCATACTAACTTTATTAACTTCTCAAATTACTCGTATTCTTCTTATAATTTTTATAAGTTCATTCACAATCAGTCAATTCGACTCAATTTCCCAAAATTATTTTCTGGTCATAAAAGGTAAAACTGGAACCTCTGACGTAAAATTAATCCACAATAAGCAATTTTTCCAAACACCAGAACTGCAATACCCTTCTCGACGCACGTTTTACCATCCAAGTTGGTGTCTTCGAGAAATGGAAAAAACAAATTCCTCACTTTAAAACGGTTCTCATCACCGACATACATCAATGATTGCGGGTAGAAATTTGCGAGAGTTTCCCCTAATTTGAACAGATTGATTCATGAACACGTAACAATGGCATGCGCAGCACTGAATTTTTTTGTTTTTCGAAATCGGATATATGCAGCATGTTCCTGAAAACTCTCAATCTAATCCATATAATTTTTGTCTCAGTCCGCAGAGCGTATTTCATATATCCCTAACTTTTCACTTCCAAACATTTGTTGAAGTGAGCAAAAAGTTTCGAAGGCTACTTACACATCCAACTTTTTGAAAATACGATCTAATCCGATAGTGTATCGTGGTTCATATGAACGAACAATAAACTTTGGATTCTCAATATCGTAACTTTCTCCAGCCAAGGTGAACCTAATGAGCCTATGGACGAATAAATTTAGAACTGTCATTTTGTCTTGTGGATAAGGGTGTGACCAATCAAGTATCAAATGATAATAAAATCTTCATCTCGCAACTTTACATCCTTATCCATAAAGAATAATGGCTCTGAGGAAAGCTCAATGATCATGTGTATATGCAATAGTCATTTCAACCATCATTTTATTAAATTGGCATTGTCAGGATATGAAATCAACTGGAGGTTAAAAATAATTTTTTATTTGTATTTCTGTCAATTATATCATCGAGAGTTACAAAGATGATTTTTTCAATAATGCTACAAAAATAAAGTTCATAATGTGCCCTATCCAGTGATTTCTGATAATTTATCTGCATTTTCTAGCATACGTGCACCACTTGTATTGATGAAATTAATGAGCATAATATACAGGGCGTTCCAACATTTTGAATAATGTACGAAACGCTTTCGAGAGTAGACTGTATTATAGTATAAACGACAGCGAATTTTCTATTTTTTCTTAAATAAAACGTTCAACATTAAATTTCTCAATAACGAATGAACCAATGAACCAAGACAAAAGACCTTTCAAATGATGTACCACTCGATTCCCCATGCCATTAAAAAAATAGGGGGGTAGTTGCTGGCCGCAGGGGGGTGAAATTTTGGGTATGATTTTCGTATCAGAAATAGCCCCCTAGAAATAAAAATCGATGTGTTCTGTGAAATTTTTGATTACATGTCCGTTTCTGACTTACAGGAGAGGTCAAGTTTTTGTTGGAGCGGCCTGTATATTATCGAACTAAATTGGAATAAAAATTACTACTCACCCAACTTACTACTCTTATTATTGATTTCTTGCTCTATTGCCGAGAATAATGATGCAAAATTCTCAACAGCATTATGAGGTAATATGAAACTGAGTTCACGACCGTGTCTTCTAGCCCTTTCAGCTTTGGGAACATGTGTGGTAACAAGTCGATTGATAGCATGTTCTTTACATATTCCTTCCAGAACAAGAGTTAAATGGTAACCAATACCAAATTTATTTTTCAAGAAGAGCGAGCTGCCACAACATCTTATGCTACCTTTTGATACAACTGCTTTTCGGTCAGCTGGAAAATAGTAAAAAAAATCAGAACAAAACTTCTCATTATGCTGATTTGGAAACTTCAAAAAATTCAGAAAAGAAATAGGAAATAGTTTTTTGATTTTGTTGATAGATATTTTTATTGTGAAATCCGTGAAATATTCTCATTTACGATAATAGATAATTTATTTTGTCATCGATAGTTTCCTATATCTATGATTTTGAAATATCGAATAATTTTCATCGTAAGTATTTGGTCTAAAATATATATTTCGGTAAAATTTCGGTGTGCGTATTAAGTTTTGTTTCTTGGGTTTCTTATTTGTGTTGCAATTGTTGATTGAAATGGTGGAAATCCTTCTGATTTTGAGAAATAAATGTGTTGAATGTGTTGAAAAACGCCCAGATACCTCGATTGGTATTTTTGTTGTGCATTTTGTCGACAAAAACCTTTTGAAACATATATCACGTATCAGTAGTCAGAACCATTTTCACTATTTAAAATACAATTCTCTATATATCATTCAAATTTTGGATTCTTCAGAAAATTCTATATTTATTTCATGCACGTTGTCCTTCACTTGTCTTCAGTTGCAAAAATTAACAATAACTTCTGGCAGGGGTACGAAGTTGAAATTAGGATTCAGCAGCAAAGAAACAAACAGATTCGATGAGAAACCTATTTCTATGTTTCTTCGCCACACAAAATGGGAACATCGAAAACTATATGATAAATAAGTGTTAAATGTTCTGTAAAAATGTATTGCACTTAAATATTTTTTTATGTTAATTTTTGCAATGAATCTGAGTAACACCTAATATTTCTGTTGTAATTGAAGATATGTATAGATTGCTAAACATGAAATATGTCAAGAATATTGTGAAGAATCTATAAATTGAACTATTGAATTTCGATTGAAATGCCAATCGACATTTTTTGAACACGCCCCCATTCATTTTCGAATGTATTTCATTCGGCTAATGCATTTAGCTAATGTTCATCATGTATCTTTTTTTGTTTGTCCTCTTTTTTACCGAAGACTTATCATATTGCCAATTTGCTCAAGGTACAGAAGTCCTGAACATGTTTATTTAGTACTAATAATAAAAGTATAATGAACCTAAAATATCTGCCTCATCCATAAAATGCGTAGTTAGTAAGATAACCTTTCCGTGTCTTCTATTCTGGAGAACAGACCACATGTGCCTCCTGGAGTATGGATCAACCCCTGCAGTTGGCTCGTCTAGAATAATGATCTGAAAATAAGAAGAACGTCAACTTTGTGATGATATACGTGTTATGAATTACTTTAGGATCTCCTATGACAGCTATACCGATAGACAATTTACGTTTTTGGCCGCCACTCAAGTGTTTAGCAGACGCGTTGGCCTTATCTGTGAGATCGATATCTCTCAAGGTTTTCATTACTTCTAATTCTATTGCCGAAGGATGTATGCCCTGAAATTGATTGTTTTTTTCAATATATAATTACATTCATATTTTCTCATACATATTGAATTAGGTATAATGAAAATAAAACATTCAAAGTAAAATCGCCAAAAACTGCATATCATCGTTCATTTCAAGTTAAAAAATATTATTGTATAAAATGTGGAGGAAATTCAGTTCTTGTACCTTAACAGCTGCAAAAAATTCCAAATGCTCCCTCGGAGAAAGATTATCAAACAGTATATCATGTTGCGGACAAACTCCTGTCATTCGACGTATTTGATCCATATCGTTCGGGTCTCTGTGAATTATATAATTATTATATTTCGAAATCTCATATTTTCGTAAAATACCTAACGTCATATCCGAAAATGTAGGCTGTTCCAGCGGTGGGAGAGGTCAAACCTGTTAGAATGTTGAAAAGAGTAGTTTTGCCAGCACCGTTATGACCTAAAATGGCGGTTATTTGCCCCTCGTAGATAGTTAAATTGATACCATTCACAGCCTTGATCTCGGGTTTTTGGCAATGCTGAAAAAAAAACAATAATTGTCAAACATACCAATTCATAAGGAAGGGGGGAATTTCTCCATAGAAAACTGTGATTTTTTTTAATAGTTGATAATGTTTCATGTTGAATATTGAAAGTTTCATTTCCATTTTTTCAAATGGAAATGGACTGATTCATTCCTGATTGATTCGAGAATAATGAATTAGCACATATCATTAATTAAGGTCTCAAAAATCCTGACAATTTTTTTACCAAGTTCGACAAGAGATGTTTTGATATTCGGTGATATATCGAAAATATAATCAACTAGAAGTGGTAAAACCATCAGCGAAATAGGTGGATGTTTGCTTGAAATGGCGAGATTCGAATATTACATAATTTCACACCACCATCGATAGGAAGGAAGATGTGCAATACCATAAAGATACAACACAGAAAGATAATCGCTGATATCACATCACAATTGACACATTTTCCTTATGGACTGTCTGAGATTCATGTCAAAGATATCCCACTCAGACCGATCATCCAAAAAATCGTCCAAGTTCTTGACAAATTCAAGGCACGTTTGGTGTTGCTGAACAAAATCAAAGACAACAAAGATTAATTCGTTTTGACATTGAAAGCCTCTGAATCAACGAAAAAATATTACAGATTACCTGTAGGAAACATCCAAAGAAGAGAGTCTGAAAACAAGAACACAAACTAGAACACTGTATTCCGAAATACTTATTTTAGTTATGGAATAAATTGTATGCATGAAAGGATAATTGCCAACAGATCACCACTATTACCGATAATAGGTAACATTTACATGGAATGGTTCAAAACTGTGGAGATGACTGAAACATCTCCTGATGATGCTCACTTGGTTAACAAAACGCGCGTCGGGGTAGCGTTTTTGTTCTGGTGAAGAAAAATTATTTTCGAAAGACCTGAAAATTGTTCCTTGAGAGTGGAAATACTTTTTCCAAAACATGGACTCGCCAGATCTGTTTTTGGAAATTCTGATAATTATCCTTCCTCCATAGAGATATTTTTGATGAAAGCTGGTAGTTCGGCAATTTTCTCAGCAATGATTTGTATTTCTGTTTTTCAGGATTCTTATCACATCAATAACGTCACATTCTAATATTGCAGCAAAACAGAAAGTGTGTTTTTTTTGTTTTATAGATTATTGGATAGATATTGGAAATGGTCGATCGTAAATGTTTATTAATAGCATTTGGTTCTATGTTCCAGAAGAAATTACTGAAAGCATCAATTCCAACAATTTCATCATTCTTTTTTATTCGATTCTTCCACTTTCATCCATTCACTCTATCAGTTTCTTATGATAGTTTAAATTAAACCAATTTCTCAAAGTTTTGCTCTTAGTTATAACATCGTTATTTACCCACCTCTTAGCAGTTTGTGACTATTGTATTTTTATTATAATATAAAGTAAAACCTCGTTGATCTTATTCTCGTCATTTCATCTCCTGAAGGTTCGTAGGGCCACAGCTGGTTAGCGGAAAACACATTTCAACAAATTTCATCAATGCTTGAAGAAACGGACTGTAATTATCTGAACGGAAAAACCTCACCAAAAAGTAGTGAAAACATCGCTCAACTAATATGTAAGTAATTTCGAATCTTCAGGGACGAATAATTGCATAAAAACAATTTTGACTACTAATAATCTGAACATGATGATGTACTGGTATTCAAACTAATTAACAGTTTTGTACGGTGGATGTTCCGGAACAAGTATAAAGATACCGAAAGAAAAAAATATTCTGCAATAGGAACTTGTGCAACTTACATAAAAACTTTTGTATAGATCAACAATTTTTATTGCTTCCCTACCACGCATTTCTCTTGGTACAGGTTCTACATCGGATGCTGAGTCTGTGTTATTAAGAGAATGTACAGAACCGTCTCCATTTGCTACCAGGGGCATCTGAAATGAAATTTACGTATACATGTTTAGTATATATATTTTTTTTAAACAAGAAGCTAATTTCTTCATGTGTTGATATTTAGATATTCATCGTTCTTAACATTCAATATATTACCGTATTTTTAGTATATTCACTAGTGAATCTGACATCTGAATGAGATATCTTGAATTTTCGGAAAGAACTTCTGATGAAAGAGTAGAGAATATCACTCTACAAAAGATATATATGATCAAACTCGCGGTATTTACAAAAATTCTCTAACAAATTTTCGTTTCGAACAATATCGTCTCACTTTGATTATCAAGTTGAACATAATATCAGAAAAATTTTTCGCCTTCTATTTGGACAACTTACCTTCTGCAAACGTTTTTTGGGACACCAAAATGATGGTTTGAAACAAAATAAGGGCGATCTTTTAACGCCATGTTCACCTAAAATATAAATGGCAAATCAATCAACTCAATATCATCTGCAGCGTAATATTTGTCAGCTCACTAACTTGGTATTACACTATCTAGATAATATGCCAGGAATCCATATAATATTATATCAAATGACATCATGATAAGACTTCCACCAAAGGGCATTCCAGAACCAGACCAAACGTTGTTGAAATTCACACCTTCTCCCGACAAATCCATCACCAAAGCCTGAAATATATTGAATGTATGTGAAAATAATAAAATATATTCCATATATATTCCAATTCTTACATTATCCATTGCCAAAGCAAACCCAGATGGACTTATCAACGATAGAAACCATAATCCGACAGAACTTGAGTCGTGCAAAAATACTTGGATGAAATAGAAAAAACTCATAATTGTAACGGCAAAATTTCCCAATATTCCAGCTGTCTGAAAAAATCTCAGATATGAATTCGTCAAGGCGTCAATATCCACTCACCCTGGATTTATCAAAAAATGGAGTGATCATGAAACCAAACATAATGATGGTCAAGCAATAAAGCAAAACCAAAATGAATATCAGTATTATACTGGTGTTGGTGAATACCTTCAGGGTGAAGAGAAGAATACAGCACACTATTGTTAAAAACAAGACGAAGACTCCGTAAATAATAAACCAGGACAGCCTAAAATACTCCAAATTGACAACCAATGATAGTAGATCGAAATTTACTCACCAAAAGACCGAATCTTTGAGCCCCATTATCTTCATACCTTCTTTAATTTTATTTTCCTTTTCACCCACTATCAGTATCAACAAATACGTAATGAACTGAGATAGAGACATCACCATGTATATGGGTATAATAATTCGGATGTAAACCATCCAATTCCCGGTGTGGGCGTGTTTTGGAAACATTTCCAATAACAATCGAGGCACTTTCAAATTTGACTTGGTGTCAATCTATAACAAATAAACATACCTATACTCAACAATTTTTTTTCATCTTGTGTTATTCAACCCAAAAATAAATCATTTGAAAAAATCGGGAATGGTGTCATAAAAATCTCAAATGAGTATCTTAAAATGAAATTACAATTGTGACTACAAATATATCGTCCCTTACCCTTATTCGAGTATAGTCTAACAGAGCCTGTAGGGCCAAAAACCCGGAGTAAAAGTACTGATTTACTGGACAACTGTCACCTCCTTCCATGGCTGGTATAACTCCCGCATATTTATACCACTGGCTTTTTGTATCTCTACAAGCTAATGGGGAGCTGTATAAGCTGGTTGTTGAAGGTGTACCATATAGCGAAGGATTCGTTCGAATTTCGTATCTATAAAATCGTCAAAATACTCATCAGTAGCAAAACATGCATTAAGAATTGTTGATCTGAGGCTAAATGCACGAAGTTGCTTGGCAATTGAGTTCAAAATTGAGGAAAGTGGTGCATGATCACGTATTTTTATACAGTGTCAATTTGAAAACGTGCCACCACACTATATTCCTTTATGAATAACCTGAAAGCAGGTCCAATAGAAGCAATAGGATGGCCCCAATGATCACCGTACCTCATCACCTCTAGATTTCAACCGATAGGGCATCTGAAATGTATTGTTTATGAAATACAGTTTCGTGATTTGAAAGACTTGAAGAGAATAATATCCGCTGCGTGTAGAGACCTTCAGGTAGCAGTTTTTATTTTTCATTGCACAATACTTAAAAAAGCTGAATATTATCAACGTTTTACTTGATTTCTACAAAAGTACTCAAAGAAAAGTTGAGTATGTGGTATATTTAGAAAAATAGTTGAACGACCTTCAAAATGAGGTCAAATCTCTTTTCATTTGATTTTTTAGGGGTTGTGTATGCCCCTGCTAGAGGGTTGATGTAACTAAATTGAAATATAGCGTACAAAATGACCTCTTTGAAAATAAGTTTGATGTGTTTTTGCTTATTTTAGGTTATCTATAGAGGCCAAAATATGGAAAGTGGAACGTTTTCAAACTGTATATTACTGTATATTACTAATCCCACAGTAGAAATAGGAGAAAATAGAATCACTCGTTCAACTCAACACATACAACAACACTATCGCAAACTTACTTAACGAGTGAAATAGTCAGTATTTCATAAATGAAGGAGATCTTCAACTCTACCAGTAGTTGTGTTTTGGTATTATGAAAGTATCCACAAACTTTCTCATGAAACAAAAATTTTAAATTGCAGAAAAAGGAAATTAGTTTCATGACCGTACAATAATAAGTTCTTCTTCTGGTCCAGAAAATGAGGAAGATGGATACCATGAAAAAAGTATAATTTATAACTGTCAGCAATAGATGTCCAGGAATAATTCAATATTGTGAAGAATAGAAGTAGATTAAAATGTAATTTTCATATTGCATCATTGATTTACAAACATGTGTTAAGGATTAATTCAGAATTCCTAGCCAAATACTCACTGAAGAGGTCCATTAATTGGTCCAGGTTCATCGAACAAAACAGCAATGGGAATATCTTCTGATTTTTTCCAGTAAGCTGACATCAAATCCTTCTCCGTTGCGTATAGATCCCAATTTATTTTGAAGTTATCTGGATTTACTGAATCCCAGAGAATATCAACTTTATCCAGAAAATCCTGAAATAGTCAAAATAACTTTTGTTAATGTAACTGAAATGTTAAGGGAATTACGGAAATTTGCATTGAAAAAATAATTACCAACACATCTGTTGAATTTGGAACTACCGCAATATTGTGGCTTTGTAACTTTCCAAAATGCCCTAATAGTTCGGCTTCTCCTCGTGGAACATCTATTTCTGGTAAATTTGGATTCGGAAACGTTACTTTCAGAATAATCAGGATAGCCAAAGAATATAACGGCAACAAAACTTCCTGTAAAAAATTGAAAATACAGAAACTAACACCCAGCAAATAGAAATTAAATGAATTATGTAGATAACTTCAAAAATTGATAATATTCATAGTTCAATATTAACTCATTTATATATATACTCATGTTCCACTATCACTTTGTAGTAACCATTCCCTTGAAAATGATTTTTGATGATGTCTAGTTCCTTCTCGAGACCTTCATTTGTATTACAGAGGCCGAAAGCACGGTCCACTAGAATCTTAAAAAGAGGAATCAATAAGACTCTAGTAGATCATGCTTTCGGTGTCTGTAATACGAAGAAATGTCACGAGAAGGAACTAGGCATCATCAAAAATGATCTCCAATGGAATGGTTAGTCCAAAGTGATGGTGGAAGCTAAAAGGCAGCAATTCGTCCATCATCAAAAATATTAAACTAAAATCTTCTCATATAAAAAAATACAGAAAATCTGGTTCACAAGCAGAATTCCTTGAATTTGTGAGACTCAGACGTACTATTAAATATCAAATAAAAATGTCCTAAGTACATGGAGAATTTACAATCTTCTTTGTCAAAGGACCCCAATAAACTCTGGTCATACATTCACTCCAAGAATAATACAACCAGAATACCGGGCAAATTATATCTTAACAATAATACTGTAGAAAATCCGCAAAATATTGTCAACGCTTTTGGAACATTCTTTAGTAGCGTTTTTCAACCTCCAGAGCGGAATACAATTGCCAAATATAATGATCAGAATCACGTTTGTATTAATTTCTATCCAATTGAAGAAGGTGAGGTTGTAAGTGCTCTGAAGAAAATGAAGGACAAAATGACATCTGGTCCAGATAACATACCTCCTTTCTTCATCAGGGACTGTTCTGGTTGTCTCACTGTTGTTTTAACTAAGATCTTTAATTCATGTTTGAAAACGAGAACATTTCCTGAAAGGTGGAAAGAGGCTAGAGTTTGCCCGATATTCAAGAATGGCGATAAAAATAAAATCGAAAACTATAGAGGTATTTCATTGCTCTGTAACTTTACAAAAGTTTTTGAAATCATTTTGTATAATCGTATATATACCTATATCCGAAATATGATATCTCAAAATCAGCAAATCAAATCTGATATTTATCACTCAATATATCGCAGAGGCGCTAGATGACAATAGTCAAGTAGATGTCATCTATACAGATTTTGCAAAAGCATTCGACAGAGTGGATCACACCATTCTATTAAATAAATTGAGTGCAATTGGCTTTTTTATTAAGAGCCTGGAAAGGAAAATAAGCCGTCACAACCAGTACTTGTACTTGCACTTCTTTACATCAGAGGATTGTCAGAAAGGATATGAAGAATTGGGTGCAAGTACAACATCAGAATCTGCTTCAGATCCGGAAACACTATCCGTAGCATCCTCATGAAAACCAGATCACGAATCGCTGAATGCGAATCCAAGAATTGCATTTACCGGATACCCTGCGAGTACGGAAAATCTTCTATCGGTGAAACTAAGGGGCCATTAAAAGTGTGCATTAATTGCTGAGTGTTGTGCGGGGGCGAGGAGGAAGTATTTACTTCATCAATTGACAGAGAAGTTTTTCACGAATTCACCAACAAATTCTGAACTTTTTTATGTTATCGTAGCCTAGTTTTACGAGTCTATCATTAATGCAACCCTCGCGTTCCCTGACAGAAAATTTGCGACTCAATTTACCCATAATATGGCGTGAGATGCGGCGTGGCAATCCACAAACATACACCGTCATCGCACACTTACTTCTATTACTAACCCGGAATGAATTTATGCTAGACATTCTCGAGATCAGGAGCGAGTCTACAGAGGAGATGGATGTCGAGTTTACGATTCCAACTGACCTCCCTGTAAATTTAGATCAGGAGCGAAAGCTTCTCAACTCTCCAACTCCTGATCCAATAACTGAACCTAAAAAAAAGGTTTGGTGTCGTCAATCGTTTGCAGTACGGAGCTTCCAGCGGCCTAAACACGTTACGATTTTTCGTACTGCATGTAGAACTGCAAATTGTAAAGAAAATCGTACGACATGCAGTACAGCCATGTTTCATCCATACCTCACAATAGCTCGTACTGCCGAGGTTCAGATTTCAATGTTTCAAAAGTCACGTCTGAAGGAAGTTCTTATATTGTTAATTTTCTTTTTCATTACTTCTTGAGATTCGTTCGGGAACAACTCTTCAAATTTTGCAAATGAAATATCGTAATGTTGTTCCCAAACGAATCTCAAGAAGTAATGAAAAAGAAAATAAACAATGTAAGAACTTCCTTCAGACGTGACTTTTGAATGAATGATCTAAACCTCGGCAGTACGAGCTGTTGTGAGGTGTGGATGAAACATGGCTGTACTGCATGCCGTACGATTTTCTTTACAATTTGCAGTTCAACATGCAGTACGAAAAATCGTAACGTGTGTATGCCGCTTAAGATATCGTCAGGTGTAGCTGACGTGCAAAAACCCTCAAATGGGAAAGTTGTCGCGGGTATCAAGGTGGGAATCTTGCACCTTGACGATCCGACTACCTCATTAACGATGAAACAGCAGAGAGTTCGGCAGAGCCGTACTCTTACCATCTAACCTGAAAGACCACTCACCATACAAACTAATCGGCTTTGTTAAGAAGCTGGGTTTATTTGCTCGAGTGTGAATAGGTGTGAGCCACAATAAACCCTTGCGGGTTGCGGTGGAGGAACGAATAGACCCACTCACTTTGGACCTAACCTTACATAACCCACAATATTTTAACTTTGTTTGTTTGCTGTTGTTTCTCACACAGTATGTTTGCGATATTTTCGTCATGAGAAGAGTTGCAGAAATCAAACTGAGTCAGCTTGGAATGACATTGAAATTATTTACTGAGAATATAATCGACATTAGGCTAATCGTCTTTCGAAAAAATGTCCTCTACTTTAGTATTTGGAATAGCACTTCCAAAAAATCTGCATCCAATTATTCTAGTCCTTTCATCACTTTGAAAATTTTGATCAAAAACTTTCACTTGAATAAATAATAACCCTACCAGCAACAAAAAACATTCGGATGTACAAAAAATTCAGTTATTCACAATAAATTGAATGTCAGTTCGTCTATTCCAGTACAATTCATCTATTCCAGTACATTTGACACAGAATAAAATAAAGTTTATGAATTATAACGATGCCTTTGCGATTTTCTCCTAAAGAATATGTTCTTTATATACGGAGAACCTCGGCGGAATTCTGACAAGACAGCTTGATTATATCGCGAATTCCTCATCGTCATCTGCCATCATATATTATTTTTCGTAAAGTGGAATAAAAATTTCACTAGCTAGAACTGAGGAACATGAAATTAATGTTCTGGCATATAATGAAATTAATCCACATGTTTCAGAACTTGGGGTTAGAAGGGAAGAATTAAAAAAATAGGTATCACTTTTGCAAAGTTCATTTGGTGCACGGTTTGTTTACCATTCATCGCGTATCTTCATGATAATCCAGATGTTCTAACAATACTGGATAAAGTTTCCAAACCAAGTTACGTCACGACGGTTCGATTGTTAGTATCCACAATCGTCTTCGGGTGATAACTGGACTTATTCTTTCAAGATCTGACTATTTATAGGTCATTCGGGTGCTTTCACCCTTCACCTATCCCCTCTTTCCTCTTTCCTCTTCATTGGTTTTACCGGGAGATGACCGTTTGGCGGGAGTTGGTCGTTTTTTGCTCGATAAGAGGTTTCCATATGTTACGTATCTCTAAGCTAGCTTGACTAAATGCGTTGTTGGACAACGGTTAATCTTTTTATTTTTTCAGGGATTTCAAATCAATTTATATTATATTAGACAATGGAAGTCCGAACTGATGAAATAGGTTTCATTATAATGATGTGATCAACACACATTACTAATCCAATAGCATTGGATATCAGGAATCATAACGAAGTGAAGTGGTGTAGATTTAACAATGCATTCTCATTGCAATGCCATACCATCACCAAGGCGGTACGGAGTCCGCTGCGTCTCTCTGTCTTTCTGAATGCGATAAAATCTAATGGACGAGGAGATTCAAGAAGCAAATTCATGTAAATTGGTTGAAATATAATGATGCTATCCGTGTGAAGACAGGGTCGTGATGTCGTCATCATCAAGAAGCTTTTCTCCTACGAGAAATTCTCAGAAATATTTCTGAAGGTGTACGAAAATAAGGTTAGAATTTTACTTTTCGAGTTATCCAGTACAATAGCGGATAATTGATCAAAGACCGTCCGATCATCGATTACACACCTAACTATTTCCGGCCTTATCCGTATAATTTTGATACTAATGGTTTTTTTTCCATTACGACGACCGTGGATCGCCTGGATCGATGAATTTTCAAGTAATAGATGACATTACACCTCAACAGAGATACGAAACATTGTTAATGAATGCAGTGTTCCAGGCCAATTATATTCACTGAGAACCCAATAATCTATTCCTGCCGTTATTGTACTGCTTTGAACGGATAATTTCCAATTAAAGCCTATCTAATGAGCCGTTTTTACTGGAAAAACTGATTTTCTGTAGAGGCCTTGGCATTTTGCTGGTTCATTCTGATAAAGCCTGTCCGATTAATCAAATACAGAATCACGAAACCCAATGCTGCGAGAACGATGGTAAATCTGTAAGCCTTCCATTATACTCTAGAATAAAGTATCCAGGGCTGGCAGAATGTGACCTACAAACTACAAAACGTCGATTTCACAATATATCATGACCCTGATAGGTATCTTCTTTCTGAAAATGAAAAACCTCTCCTCAGCTTTATTGCTCCACTTGTCGATTAACATCGATGAATATTGAGCAAATATATACGACATTTGTTAGCGGATACAGAATAGAAATATTTCAATTGGTACGTAGGGATATTCGTCACAAAAAATATATAATGGAATCAAATTTTCCCCGTTTTCCAACTCCGAACAATAATGAAGAATTGTTTTTTTCTTCTTGAAGGCGTCG